CCCCCCCTCTACCCGTGACGTCAGCTCGTACTCATGAACCGACCACGCCCACCACATAATTTGCATAATGAGCGCGGCCCAGACCAATGAGAGAGCAGGATGACTGAGGTCCCACAGGGTAGAATATGGAAGTAAACATTTATTTAGAGTGGAAAGCTTGGGGCATTTTAACAGGGCAAAGGCAGCATGTGTGCTATACATTATGTTCTGCTTATGCAGGTCATTTAGTTTTGTTTTAGCAATGAGGCAAAAGTTGGGTTGGTTTAGGGGGAATAGTAGCTTTGTAATGGCAGCCCATGTAATTCTTTAAGACTCATTGTGATGACTCATCAGTAGATTTAAATATTAATTAAAAGAAACTGGTGAATTTTGGTGGATATATCTTAGGTACATTTAATTATTGTACAATGGACGACTGATGGCACCAAAGAGCCCTGTCGTCATGACACTTCTGGTAAGCCAGACCCGGGTTTCAATTCATGAAAGAAACTGCTGTGAAGCCTTGTAGAAATGTTCTCTACAGCTGTGGTTCTCAATCCTGGACCTCAGGAGCCAGGGCCCTGCTGGCTTTCATTCTAACCATCGGGATGCCAGGGGAATGCTATAAACTACCTGGGAGGACTGAGAACCACCACTGCTAGTACTGTGTTCTACTGGTCTAATATTCTAATGTATAATATTTTTCATGGCAACTAGGGGCCATTTTAAGCATAAATACTTAATACAATTCCAAATATACATGTTTTTAAATGAAAACTGTTGGAGTTTAAAACACAGATCCTCTTGTTGAGAAAATGAGGCTCCCCCAGTAAGTTTTTCATGTCAATTGATTACAGTTACCCTTCTGCCATCAAGTACTGTCATTGTGTTTTACACGTCTTCATATGTGTTATGATCTTCCCTCATGTTTTAGACTATGTTTTTCTCAAACATATCAGTGGGAAGTTTTTTTAGCTCATTGGTACTTTTCAGAGCATATTCAGAGGGTTGAATGCCTTCAGCATTCGGCTTCTTTCATTTAGACGGATGATTTGGAAGGAAAATGGAAGCTTGGTCAAGTGCTCTGATCAAAGGCATTTTCGGGTAAATAATTAAAAAGATCGCAGCATGATGGAATGCAACACGCAGCCGTCTTTTGAGTGTATAATTTAAAAACGAACATGTTACTTTTTCTTCACTTCAAGAGGACATTGTGAGCAGATGACAAATAAGGAGAGAAATAAAAACAGTTTGAAATTATGTCAGTTCAGACCTCAGGATTCAGAGCTGCCTTGTGTCACTGTCCGTGGTGCTGAATCAACACTGCCATTCAGAGACCGTGAAATAGATTGTTGGAGCTACAATTTTAACAGAACATGTTTGCACTACAAATTTTCCACGCCCTCTCCATCTATCTGCTGTGCACAATTTCCAAACTTGTCTGTCCCTTAATTCACGCAGGGAATGATGCATTCAACGCCACTCTTCAGAATAGTTTTGTTATTCATGCAAGTGAGCATGGGCACTGCCAGTATTGCATTACTCGCACACAGAAAGGTCTAATTAGTGCAGATGGGAATATAACATCAATACAAGGGCAGTCCGACTCACACTGATATGAGTAATTATTCTTGATATGACTGCATTTTTGTGGATTGTGTATCAATGATTGATTGCATGTGGCAACTTCATTATGATAATTGTTAATAAGAGCTGCACGCTAGCATATAGAGTAATACGATATCCCCTGATTAAGGGTCTTAGAGCAAGACATGGAGTCTCTGACAACTCCAGAGCTGGTGTTCTGTAACGAAGCATGACCTCTGATCCTCTTGTGGATTTGGGTGAGAAACGTGCTATCAGAGGAAGATCACAAAAAATGGCGTATCCGGTGTTGAAATGACTTCAAACCGCTGTTAGGTCAGAATTAATTGGCTTGTAAAAATATGTTTTCTATCTATCTGTCTGTCTGTCTGTCTGTCTGTCTGTCTGTCTGTCTGTCTGTCTGTCTGTCTGTATGTCTGTTTATTTGCATGCAAATGAGCTAAGAGTATTCTATTCTACATTTATTGTATTCAAATGACTGAAAACGTTGTCATGACTAATTCAACAAAATCAGCATTTCCCAAGAAGATAAATTTGACATTTGAATGCCTTCTGTGAGTTACTTCGTGTTTATTTTATCAGAGGAATCTTATCTGTCATAAATAGACAACGGGATGGCCACCTTTTTCAAAACTATCTTCCAGTACCGTAAGCACATACAATTTTGTCGCACTGTACCCAATGAACATTTTTGGCCACTAGGTAGTTTAGAAGTCAGCTTTGATGGATTATGAGCTGTTCACTGTTTGCTGTTTGCTTTACAAGTGCGCATGTGTGTGTGTGTGTGTGTGTGTGTGTCTCTGTGTGTGTGTTCATGTTCACCCGTGATGCCTGTCAGAGTGAACGATCTTTGGGGATAGTTGTATTCTGAGAGCAACTAACAGTAACATCTGGCACTGCATTGGCTTTGTTATGAATATTTATTTTCTATTTAATCATGTCTTTGTAGACCATCTCAAATAAATCCTGCGGAGTTTTTCGCACTGAATGGGGAGCCAAAACACAACGGGTCTCCCTTGTCAGTACCATCAGGGTCATTCTTTCCCACAAAGACATAGCTAATTTAGCTTCAGTGCTGTGTATTGGCTTTGTGATTTTTGTTTCCTTGCTTTTGTCATTTCTCTGCGGGATAGTTTGCCTGCACAGCTGTGAAGACTTGGAAACTGCCTGGCAGGAGGATATGCAGGTACTGCATGATCTCTTCAATTATGCCTGTCTGTAAGCATCCTCTTTGTTCGAACACAGGCAAGCGTATCAGAAAGGTTGACAGGGTTCCTCTTCTCGTCTGTGCCAAGCTCAGCACCTGGATGGTTGAACAGGGCACCTCTGTCGATTGCTCTCCTTTCAGACAAAAGAGCAGTCAGAATAGTTCCAGCTGTGTTTGTGAAGTGGGTATAAACTTGAAAGAAGAACAAAACTGTGGAAAAGAAGTCCCTCAAGGATCTTGCACACCTAGAGACACATTTCCCTCAAATTATTTTCTTATTATTTCTGGATGGAAACTGTATTCGGCCATTAGCAATGAGCAATGATTTTTGCCTCAGTAGGCCAACTAGGATTGGAATCGGGAGGGGGCGTGAACATGGTAAATGTGTCCGCAAAATCATTTCCAGACTAATGCAAATATTTACCCTGAGTATTTCACAGTATAACTGTAGTCCTGAGTGAGTGCCATTTCCTTTTTTTATTACCAAAATTATTCACACCACTGTCAAGGTGACTTGTTGGAATGTCACAGACACACCAGTTGAAACACCTCCCAAAAATATAGTCCCTTGAAGGAGCAAAATCAGTGACATAAGTCATGCATTGTGCAAAGCAGCTTGGTGTCATGCACAATTCCTTTATACTGTGTGTTCATTATCCCATTAAACTGGATATATGGAGTGGGCCAGGTGGAACGTAGTCATGCATGAACATTTTTCACTGTCTGTTTTGTAGAGTGAGTCCAAAAGGAGAGCATCCATTGATATTCATGGCACAACCAGTATGAGGTGTGACAGTATTTTTTTTGTGAATCCGAGAGTGTATATGGTAATACCAGAGCAGCCTCAAATCTCAACTGCAGTCTCTGCCTGAGGGAGGGGTGCACTTCCCCCCCCCCCACACACACACACACAGTCTCTACAAAATATAGAACCACTCGCTCAGAAGCCATAATTTATCTTAAAACACAATTTCTTGCCAGTTCATTTGCTTTTTGTGCTGTAGGGGAAATTCAGGAGTCATTGTTGGTCTAGTCCTGAGCATTGTTTTTGGTATATTAAGTTTTGCTGATTTGTGTTTAAAAAAAAAGGTGGATTACATCTCTATTTTCTCTTCACGGGGCTGTTTTGTCTATGCTGCTGTTGATGTTCCGTTGAATGATAAGGAGGCCTCTCGCTGCATGTTTAAGTTAACTAGTTATGTAAGGTAGTGAATAAATGAGGGAAAAACAAAGAAGAGGTCAGGGAGACCACAATGAGTCATCCGCTTTCTGGCAGCTAATGAATCCCAGAATAGTCTGTGCAGGCCTTCCGTGAGAACAGTCAAATTGGCATTTCTTCCATTGCTATTCCATGTTCATGCAGTATTGTGCTTTTGTTTTTTGCTAGGTATTAACAGTAGATCATTGTGTATGTATACTATGACTCTGCAGCTTTGTTGTCGGTGGGCTGAAATGATCTCTTTGGTTATCCCTCATCATCTACCACAGCCGTGCATTTAAAAACAGGGTTATCTAGCGGTAGGCTTAAGGTCACTGAGGTCATCTTATAATCACGTAAAAAGAAAAGTTAAATATTTAAATACGTGGTGAGCAGAGAGTGGTTGCAAGTTCTTGTTAAGATTGAAAGTATTGCCCTTTTAAATTGCACCAGAGTCCAACACAAAACTGCAATACTATTGCGCAACTCAGCAGTGTTAATATAAATGTTGTGTGTGAATACGTGATGTACATACATGCACACACACACACACACACCCTCTCCTCCCATTCTGCTTCCCTTAGGCTGTTGTTCCAAAACTGATGTCACTTTTCTGCCAACCAAGATTCATCTGATATAGATTAAAAAAGGACCTAGGGCTATTTCAGAGCCCCATCTCTAACAGCAGTACAACTTTTTAAAACTTTAAAAAGTTACTGTGTGTTTTGT